AGAACCTCTGAAGATGTCATGAGCTGTTCCCAGACCCCCTTCCAGCCCTCCTTAGCCATACCAGCCATCCCTGTGTGCCTGGAACCATGGCCCTGACCTCACTGACACACTCCATGTGTGTGTCCATGGGTGCTCTTGCAAAGTTTTCCTGCAAGGCTGGATCCATCCCTGTGTGCCTGGAAGCCGTGGCCCTGACCTCACTGACATGCTCCATGTGTGCGTCCATGGGTGCTCTGCAGTGTTCCTGCAAGGCTGGATCCAACCCTGTGTGCCTGGAAGCCGTGGCCCTGACCTCACTGACACGCTTCATGTGTGTGTTCATGGGTGCTCTGCAAAGTGCTCCTGCAAGGCTGGGCCCAACTTCCGCTTGCCTGAGACTCATGGAAATGTCAGTACCTGCACTGGAGCAGAGTGTCTGCAGCCAGGCCACATGCCCCAAGGCAAGGCCAGGAGCTCCCCCAGCACTGGCCAGGCAGCACTGACCAGCAAAATGTGCTGCTGCAGCCCGTGGCTCTCCTCCCCGCAGTGCCTGTGCCCAGCCCCAGAGCTGGAGCCCAGCCTGCGGCTCCCGGCGGCTCTGCAGGCACCAATCCCTCTGGTGTCCCTGAACGAGCTACTTGAAAATGAGACAGCCGCCTCTACAAACTCGTCCTCAATTTTCATTGAATGATTGATTGCTTTTAAACTAGTGCATTGTATATTTTGGGAAAGAATTTATGATTTACCAAAAAATTTCCTGCTGAAAAAAAGCCAAATGGAGATTGGTTTGGGTCAAGTTGCTCAATGTCCATGAACAAGAACATGTTTTTCTTTTTCTTCCTTTCTTGTTTTATGCATGCTTCTGGACTCATTTCATCAGCTGTCAGTAGTTAAATACCATTTCAGAAAAGGGTTTATTATTGTAATTTCCTCAATTATTCTGGTTTTTTTTTTTTTTTTTCCTGCTATGGTCTCCTGAAACAAAATCAGTCAGCTAAAGTACTAATAAAATATTTTCCCCTGCTGTTTCTTGCAAAGGGCCTAAGCCTTCAAGGTGTACCCTCTCCCCTTTTTGTACCTTGACTACCATGACCTTAACTGAGGGCTTTTCCCTGCGAGCTCCACTTCTGTTTTGCAAGGGACATCACTGACTTCTGCTCACAGCCAGCTCATGTCCCCAGACCATACACAATGGCACAGCAGTGCATGACTACTAGGAAAGGAAACCAAAAAATAAATAAAATTTAGAGAAATAAAATTGAAAGGAAAAGCCCTTTTTCATTGCATGAAAAATACCCAACAACCAAAACCAGAACAGATATAGTAAGAGGTGAAAGCAATCCAGCCTAAATACATATTAGACTATGTTTAGGCAAACATAGTTTAAGCAAACTTAAAGTTTAAGCAAACATAGGTATTCCTCTGGGAGTATGTGTCTTTTGAAATATTAAATTAAATAGGCATTAAAATATTTGGAAAATTCTGGTTTTACAGTTATATTCCTTAGAGGAAAGGAAAGGAAAGCAATTGTTTTTCATGAAAAGCTAATCGGAGCAGAACCTACCCTCTGGCAGAAGGGACACACTGGGCAAGCAGGGGCTGCTCAGACACCATGGAGATCAGGGGAAGGCTCTTGCTTGGACCTCATAGGGCTTTGGATGAGGATCCTGACCATAAATGATGGTGGAACATGACAATACACCACGACATGAGGCAGCCCTGGTGCTCCCTCGCCGCTCCCCTCAAAGCAAGACGGGAACACAATGCGTGACAAAGGCACAGAATGAGGCGGCCAAAAAATCATGAGCCTCAGATGTTTAGAGTGTGACATCTGCTTCTGGCTCAAGAGACTCTTATATTGAATTCAGTTGCCTTTCCTCCAAGACACCCAACAAGAGATAACCTCAATTTATGAGTTCCAATACATTTATCTTAAGCACAGGCAGAGATTATTTGGCGCTCAATGAAAATGCAAGTATCTAAAAATCAAAACTAAGCAAAATCTATTTACAGCTTTGTAACAGCCCTGTGAATCACAAATAACTAGGCCAATGTTTTCAGCATTGAGACATTCAAAATCATGATTCAAGCCTTGAAAACGAGCATTTGGCTATAAGAACTCAGTCTTTAAAAGCAATGAAAACTGGGGGTTTTTAAATTAATTTCTCCTATTTTGGCATTCATACTTCTTCAGTCATTAGAACTGGAAATTTACATCTTTAAAATGCAGCTGAGAGTCTCCCTTGTTCACTTGGCACCAGTGATGAGGGCTTTTAAAGGGACAACCAGCAATTCTGAGTCCAGCAATAAATTTCCAATATTAGATTGTCTTTCACATGGTTAAGCAGGTACCAAGCATAGAGACTCAAACTGGAAACAGGTTGAATAGAAACAGCTTAGTGTTTTGCTGTTTCAGCATATTCATTACACACACATAGCTTTGCTGTCATCCAGACAGGGGGTAATGAAGTGCCTGTTGAAAACACCAGGAATCTTTCACTGTGTCTCGGGGCTTTGCATCATTCATAACTTCTGCTTGAATTTAATATTTAAAATTAATAAAATCCCAATAAAGAAATGTTGCACTTTGCTGCAAAACCAAAGAACAGCAGAATTCACAGAACTTTTATAAATCGACTTCTCCACTCTGTGCAGTTCTGCATTCCCTCGTTTCCTTTGTAGAAAGTAAATTCACTGAGGCAGGCAAAGCTGCCAGTGACTTTATGTTTGTACAGAATCCAGCACAGAGGAGATCTGGTGGGGCTGTGTTTGGTCCACTACTTTCAATTTGCTCTCACCTCTTCAAGTGCTGCAGCAGGCAATAAAAGCACAAGTGCCAAAATACTGCAAGCGTGCATAGTCTCACTTCATTTCTAGCCTACCTGAAAGCAGAGGTGCCAGGGACTTTGTGAGCTTCCAACAGCCCTAGGCCACCCAGATTAGATAAGCTGCAGATAAACATCAGAACACTGTGATGTTTATCTATATGAAGTCCAATCTTTTGAAGTTCATCTATCCCTTTCTCTAACTGCCATTATCTGTTGCTTTGAGATGCTGCATCCATCCCTATCAAAGTTATGTAAGCTCCCTGTGATGCTCATAAACAGTCCCTCTATCATTTGTAAAAATGCAGCCTTTCATTAAATGCATTTATGACTTCAGCTCTGGATGCATACAATATTTTATCAGCTTTTTTTTTCAGAAAGGCATATTTATTTTATCATCTGATACTTAAAATAAGTATTGCAAATAAATAAAGAAAAAAAATCTGTGTACTACATAGGAAAAAAACCCCTCCAAATATATAAAAGCTTTAGCTATGCCAAGATTGCTTAATTCTGATTAGCAATGACCATTAAGCAGTCATTTATGGATTTACTGTGAGTGTTCATAGATACTAATGGGTTTTAGAAATCCTTGGGAATCCTCAAAGGTCAAAGGAAGAAAATGAACTATGAAGTGATAAAAAATGTATTAGGTGACTAATGGACAGGTTGTATATAGAATGGTTCCAGCAGAAAACGTTGAATTTTACCACTCAGATTTATGTAAAAGCGAATCTGGTGAGCAGTGGCCCTTCCCCACTGATGAAACTAAGGAAGAGAAAATTCAAATGCGTCATGGGGAAGCATTACATGGTGTGTTTTACCCTGTCACTAAGAATACATAAGAGATGGCAAGGCCACTGATACTAAGTGAAAATGTATTTGATTTTTCTTTAGGTGGGTATCTGTTTGCTCTTTATTTAGCTTCAACTTTGTAACCGCACATTTACATTTTCGCCTATTTATGCACGATTGCATTCTATGCCATTCAAGACTCAAAACTCTTCCAGATTCAATGAATGTATCTTGTACCACTTAGGTTGATGCTGTGGCCCTCCTAGGAGAGAAGGGAGCTGTAGAAGCTGGCAGAGGCAGACAGAGCTCACTGCGGCCACGGTGTGAGCCCAGCCCCGCACCTCACCGCGCCCG